ACGTGCCTGCAGCTAAGTTTGCGAGAGTGTGTACGAACAAGATATTGCATGAAGCCTTTTATGTGAGTCGTAACATGAATTGAGTTGAACGGGAACACGGAGGTAAACACGCTAGCGCAATCACGCTTTTTAAATGAAAAGAAATTAACTTAATTAAATTCATTTTAGATGAAGCAGATTATTTAGGTGTAGAGCTAACAGAATTTGGAAACATGAAGAATAACTGAAATTAGATAAACATCTGCAAAATTAGCGAGTGTTTACTGTCAGACACAGAGGCACTTCAGTTCAACCTCTGGTTACCTCTATGTTTTGTCAGATTTCAGTCTCTGAAAATTCGCTTGTAACCGTTTATGGTTTTCAGTTGTGAGAATGTCTCGCCAAGGAACATGACATGCATTGACAAGGTCAGGTGTGGTTCCCAGACTTCTCGATATGGAACGCTGTGCGTCAACGACTATGCCACCGCGCCTGCCGAAGGATAACCAAGTTACAGCCATTACCTGATTACAGTAGGAAAGAGCTCTGCAGAGTATACGTAGGCCAAATCAAACGTTATGGTTATGAAAACCTTAGCAAAGACCATTGAAAAGATTATTCTTCCAATCAGCATCCCTTAGAAGGAAAAGAAGAACGAATATCAACGGAGAGAAATCGTAAAAAATAAAAAAATATATATGTATTTATCCCAACTACACATGTATACAACCATATACCCTGCGCCCTTGTAAAATAGACAATTTCGAGTAAAAAATATTGCACACCTGCATCTATTATGATGAGGACATCGCAGAGAAACTAGTTTAAAAAAATACATTAGCCGATAGGAAATTATCTCGGTGGAAAGGCCTTCGCAACACGTTTTGAAACCGATCTCTTCCTGGTACGAATCTCAGATGTCAGTAAAAAGTTAGTTTTTGGTAAATCAGTTTGGTTACAGCGCATTTGCTCAAATTCCTTTAGCTGCTGGTTTCTTTGTCAATCCAAAGAGCGTCGTGCCCGAATATGCTCTGTATCACCGTGGCTCAAAACATGCGACAAAATAAAAATCCCTCCTAACGAAGTATCTACCTTTGTTGGAATCGTCATCTGTGGTCAAAAGTACTGCCCCAACAGAAGATAAAGCAGCAAAGATTAAACTACCAATGATAACCTTTTTCCTTCCAAATCTGAAGCAAACATGGGAAACACAGAGTCAAAGATAGCATCTTCTATGGCTTGGAGGTTTCCATGACCACTGTAAAAGCCAAAATGATTTACAACCGTTTGGTCCGTGACCCGCTTCGAGTCTCAGTAGACGTTGTTTCACCACGGTTTTCATTCACTTTTTAATTAATTTATTGGCTGATGCATTTAATGATTCACTTTAATTGTCTCGTTTACTCATTCTTTCATTCACTTATCAATTTGTTCATTCATAATTTTGTTAAAAGTGTGTTTTAGGAAGGACTTTCAGCTATTATCGTTCAATATTTTTATTTTTCCCCAAAGTTAACCCAAAGCAATCATTTGGTACCTTTGAAAAGTGAATTAGTTTTTTTTTTTTTTTTTTTTTTTTTTTTTTTTTTTTTTTCATGGCAGCTTGTCTAAGAAGAAAAGCTATTACAGAAAATGCCTCAGCTCACAAACCCATGACACTCTACTGCTTAAGGACAAAAATGAAATGAAACTGTTTCATTTCCTACATGGAAAGTGATTGCGGAGGAACTTCTCACAGGTTTTGCTTTGAACTCACTTATCTGATGACCACACAATGATTGGAAGGCAGAATACTTCAATAAAACTTGTGAGAAAGAAGTTCATGTATAAGTTTCCACCCACATTTGGAGTGCTAAGGTACACTCCATAGTAAACCATGCCACATACGAACCTGAAAGTTTGACAGAAAAAGGAAATCAACCTCAATTTAAAAATGACCCATTTCTACCTTAAACGGTTTTGCGAATAAACAGTAAGAGCAATCATAGAAAACAAAGTGTTGGAAATTTTTGTTCCTCCTGGCCTTCCGGAGACGAATCCAGAGGTTTTTTAAAAGGATGGGGAACCTGATCCAGAAAATACAGAATATAATTATGTTTTCTTAAACCAAAACCATAAATATGTTGGTAAATATTTCAGATAAGTAGACTTAAAATACGTTAAGTTGAACAGTAATATGCGATCTTGTAGTTTGTTGTTAGATGATTCTCGGTTTCAGACAAGTATAAAAAAGTCCCACAGATCTGATAGAGAAAGGTCAGCACCCCAGGTTCCTTCCCTTGAATATGCCACTGCTCTATGCAATGAAGAACTTTGAGACTGCAAAGTTTCCTTGCCTACCATTAGAATTTTTCACAAAGTTTCTGCGGCGTAAACAAAGTAAACACACAAATCGAAAAAAAAAAAAAAACACAAAAACAAACAAAGTAACAAAAAACGAAGCAGTTTAAAGTATTACCAAACAATTCAAAAACAAGCAAACAAACTGAAACAAACATAAAAAAATAGAATAAAATAAAACACACAAAACAGAGCACGCAGAACAACTATAAAAAAAAAAAAGGAGAAAACCGGCAGAATAACACAAAACAAAAGCAAATCAAACGTCACCTTTAAGTATTCTTCTACAAAGAAAGTGAGACACCAACTTATCATTTGCGGAAACATCAGCAGCGATGCCACGAAAACAACAATAAACAATGCAGCGCCCATAGCAACAAAAAATAAGCGAATCAATATTTTCTGAATAACATACTTACCAAATATACCATGACAACAATGTCTTTCGTGCCATCAGTTTGGATGAGAACAAGTCGCGCAAATCTCCAATTCGAATCTGGTCATCAGGTTTCGCCAGGTCCTCTTTTGGCATTTCCTTGCGGTTAACTTCAGCGATACGTTTGAGAATAACCTCAGCTCGCTTAATTTTTCCCTTCAATAACAACCAGCGGGGAGATTCCTTTGTGATGCTAAATGTGCGGGGTTCAAATTTTCAATATTTTTATTGAAAATTTTATATTCATAATTGCGTCAATGAACATTTCACCTCAGTCCTCAAGATGTGCACATCTCTATCACGAACAAATAAGATGTATTGTACTGGTTTCAGCATGATTATGCAAGTTTTAGAAATATCAAAATGTTTTCTTTGCACAGTTACTTAATTTCATGAGAATAACTACACAGAAAAAAATGTTGCAAAGAATAAATTTAAAGAGCTGCATTGCTTATTCGTAGGCGCATTTTGTAAAGGGAGCATTTGCGTGCTCACGTATGTGCATTACCCTTTACTTGTATAGAGTATCGAAAAAAACATTAGTAAAACTTACAACCATCCGAGAACAACTGGAATAGCTGGAACACCACAGGCGATGGCCAGTTTTCTCCAATCACGAATGAGATATGCAAGAAGATCCAAAAAGAGAAGAGAAAATGTCCAGCAGTACCACAATGAAACGCCGATTAGACTTCGGTGACGAACACCAACCATCTCTGTCACTAACACGTAAATGCTGATGCTAGCACCACCTGCAAACATGCATGTCTCTTAATTAAAACTGTTATGGATAAGGTCTGTTGGGATAAAATGAATGGGAAAGCTGAACAAGGAATAAGTGAACTAGACGAGCCATTTTCATTATGCCCATTAGAAAAAGAAACAGAAGAGAAGGCGGAAGTATGAAAAGAGTGGAAGAGGAAGAAGGACGAGGAAGCAAAGGGAAAATTTGTGGGGAAGAGTGAAAGGGGCAGAATGGGGGGCGAGAGTCATGATGGGATTGAAAAGGAGAAATAAGAGAAGGGATAGAAGGAAAAGAAAAATGGGGATCTGGAGACTAGGTGATGTGGCATGATGTGAGGAAAATGGAATTTTAACAGGAGTTTTATAACAGGAATAGGGGGTTGTTATCATAATTTCGTCATTTACCAACTCCAAATCCGACGAGGAAACGGAAGACAGCAAACAGCCAATACGCATGCGGAAAAGCAGTCAGAAGACTGAACAAAGCGATGATGAAACCGTACAAATAAATGGTGAGTCGTCTGCCCAGCTTGTCAGCGAAAGGACCAACTGTTATTCCCCCAAGGAGGAAACCCAAAAATATCATGGATGACGCTATGGTTGCATATATTGCTTTGTCGCAGACAAGATCAAACTGGAAAATAAGAATTAATAATGAACAATTTAAAGTTTGCTGATGATCAAATTGCATTATGATGGCCTTCAATTTGCCATTTATGAAAAGAAGAAGCATAAAAACCACAAAATTGTCTAGGTATTAATTTAAACACGCAAATTTGGCTTTGGAATCTGCCGCTCTTCTCCAGGATTTTGGCTTGAACAACCTAAATATTTGAGAAAACCAATTTTTTTCAGGTATTTCCTTACACCCTTTCTGGGTATCTCCCAACTGAAAAAAAATCGTCCACTGGTGTCACAGAAATTCGGAAATAGCACTATAGACACTCTTATGAGTCCCTGCTCTTTCTCTCCTAAGGTCAACTTTTTTAACTAAGTCATAAACACCAGGAAACTTCCTCATGGACAGGTTTTTGTTTTCTTTGAAAAGTTTTTCTGTTCGAAATTAAAATTGGTATACCAAGTGCTATCATAGAGGCAATTCTTTGAGGAAATGTGTCAATGTTACATTTTCCCCATGTCAGGGGAAACTTGCAATTCGAAAACTATTCATGGAATAATTACCGGGCTGATGTCAAGTTGTGGCTCAAATGTCACTTACCTCTGTCGCCACAGATGTCAGGTCATCATTAAATACCCATTCGCTCCGATTCATATCACACCGACTCTTGTTGGATGCCGGCATGGAGCCATTAAAGCGGCATTGGGTACTATTCGCTACACATTTCCATCCGGGATCAGCTGTTATGAATGTCATGATAAGCACAGCGAAACCCATCCAAAAGAAAACCAGCCCATTGCAGCCGAGCAGCAAAAACTTTTGGTATCGACCAAAGCTTCCAATTTTCTCGAAAACCTCATCTATAGTGAGAGCCATTTCTAAGAAATAGGTAAATAAATAGGTATACTAGATAAGTAAGTTAACTAGTAAAAAAAAATTGAGTAAATCCTCATATTCTTCAATCCGTCGATCTTTAACAATGATAAATAAGAGATTGATATAAGTGATTGAAGGGTTGCATCAAGGAATGAATGTGGAAATAAACAAAACAAAACTGTGTTAAGATTCTTCTGACACTTTTTATACAGCTATCTCATGAGTTTATTCCTCTTTCAACCTTAAATAAGTAAGTAAGTAAGTAACAACTTTATTTACAGAGGGTAACACATAACAGTTTAAAACTGACGAACCAGTGGCCCTCCATCCTAAGTTAAAATTTAAAAACTATTTACACTTTAAAGATTATAAAAAACAAAATAGGTATATTTGACAATGATAAGGATACGAATTTCTTCCTTGATTGTAAAGATTACGTAAAGTACTTGCGAATATTCATACTGATTATGATATTTCTTGGAAGAACATTATTGAATAAATTGGTTTAAATTTTAGCAAAACTTTTGGTATAATTGCACTTTGTCCTTCCACGTATTCTATTAAATATTTACCAATCTTTCATTTCTCTCTACATTTGCTCAGAATTATCTCCAGCTTGGGCTCAGGCCAGATATTCTCTCCTAAACATAATATTATGGCTACAGAAATATGCACAAAGTATCGTGTATTTTGCAAAGATAAACTAAACTTCTACCTCTACGCTTTTTCTATTATGAAAATTTATCTCAATGGATGCTTGATGCTAACATTACTTTAGCACCGATGAATAAACGTAGTTTACGGCGAAAACAACTAATATCCATTCTCACCACAATCGCTTTTCTACCTCAAATTAAATTTCTACATAAAACCCGCAAACCTTCCCAATAATTGCTGCCGGAATTTGAAATAAAATACCAGTACTCCAGGGAGCTACCAGAAAAAAAATTATTTACCGCTTAGTTTTATCAAGAGAAAAATTTCCGTTCTTGTACGAGATCACTCCAAAAGTAAAAGTTATTAGGTAGTGAATTAGGCCTGTAAAAGTCCTTTCTATATTTAAGTTTGTCACCAAGTAGGTCTGCCTCTTTAATTTTATCATTTAACTCCTGTAAGACAACTTGGAGGCACACCAACTAGTCATGTACCTAAATGTTTGGGTCAGTATCAGCCAGGCTGTCAACTGACCAGTCAAGCCAAACTCAGATTAACCCCAGATGTAATTGTTTTTTCTATGTTTATTTACATAACAAACTTGTCTTTAAACTGGTCTTAAAAGTATTATTCCTTTGTCTCGCTCCTGTATTTCATTCTTTCAACAACAAATCATTGCGAGGTCTTGTAAGAAGACGATAAGTGTAATTATTATCCAACTACAGTTCCTAGAGTACAAATTACGCCATAGACAATTACAAATATCACGCGGTATTTGTACCCTAGAGTACCGGTTAAACAGGTTTTCTCGCATCGGGCAAGCGAAGAATTGGATTGTAGTTCCAAAATAAATGGCGGACAATTTGAACCATATTTCCGACGACGAAGAGTCAGAATGGCTGGCAAACATAGATCCAAGTTTATTACATGAATCGAACGAAGAAAAACAGTTAGACGACCAGAAAATTTCTTCATTTATTGAAGGAAATAGAAAAAGTAACACGACAACGCGTCAATTCCGTTCCGCTTCGCCCACTTCTGTCACGCACTCCCAGTAAATAAATATCCGCGAAATTCGCACGCACTGAAATAAAAGTTTGGCGTGTTGGATAATAAATAACTTATTAGACGTTTTGTTGTGTAGTATCGCTGAGTATTTTTTATTCGTTATTTGTATTTTGACTCGCACTACAGGCTCGTCAATATATGGCACAACTCGTAAAAATACTCAGCGATACTACACAACAAAACGTCTAATAAGATATATTTATCTTAAAAACAAAACGATGCTAAAAAGAGATTAAGATATTTTTTAGCGTTTTGGTGTTAAGATCTGAAAAGTCAAAAGCTTTAGAATTATTTAAAATTGATTACTTGTCAACCATTTGAAGGAGGGTGGTGACCCATGAAGCAACTGGCGAATCATAAACAGTACTGTTTTGATAAAATTGAAATTGAAAAGGAACGAATAGATGCCTGAGGGTTTCGACTCGATTTACAATAATTTACATTTTGCAACCCTAGTTCGAACCACTGTCATTTTTTTGAAAAGGATTTAGTGTTAAATGCACAAAACTTAGTTATCAATGCAGAGCCCTGAAGCATCGTGTAAAGAGCACCCTTAATTTTTGACCGAGTAAGAACTGCCACTTATTTTACAAGTACCATGGCAGTTAGGTTTGAAAGGAAATGTTGTGTAATTGCTACTGCAGGTAAATGAAGCGTATCAACTCGAGACTGATAAAGGTTGATGAATCGCCAAAGCGAATTTAGAACTGAAAAGTCTGAGTTTTTGTCAATTTGATTTTCAATAGCTGTGCACGTCACAGTTCATTATCTTTTTTCTTTGTCGGAGCAAAAATGAGAATTGTGAGATTTCAGTTTGTGTGTGGTTGTTGGACTGTTTGTTTTTCTTCTCCAGTTCTTGCATGCTAATATGAATAAAGAAGACTGAGGTCATAGATCACAAAGCATTCATTTTGAACCAGACTCTCGGTGTCGTTGACCATAAATTCGGCTTGGTATAAAGAGGATTCAAATATTACGCTTAGAATGTTCATTTCCAAACCGCTTTTTCTGAGAATAGTGGAACGCAAAGTATTTCATTGCAACGGTAATATCAATTATTTTCGTTTTGTTGTGCACTTGTATGGAGGAGGGCACATGGCTTTAGGTAGTTCAGCGATCTAATAAACCTAAACTGAATATAGATAAATGTTGAAGTTATCAAGTAACGAAAATACTTGTATACTCTCGGCATCTTAAGGAACGAATGCACTGCATTATTGCAAAACTTACACCGAGTTCACTAACTCGAGCTATAATCTCAAGAATATGCATGATCCCATCAAATTCTTGCACAAAAAAAAAACAACAAAAATCAAACAAAAACAAAAACTACTCAGCTCTTCTAGTATGTTCTGGGCAAGATAAGCTTGAATTCGTATGCAGAATATTGGTAAATTGTTTATAGTTCTTCCGCGATTTGCGAGTCAAAACTGGCGCAAGAACAAATTGGAGTAATTCAAAATTTCTGTTATTACTCTTATATAGTCCTAGCTTGTAAAATTTTACTCTGATATATGCTGTACATGTTAAAACCTAACTCAACCTAAGGAAAGCTATGTGAAATCTATAGTCGCATTGCCGAGATCTGCGTAATCGGCTGATGGTCGCTAACAAAGACGTCGTGCGGATGAGTCATGATATCAGAATTTGTGCATAATACACCAGCTAGATACCCCTTGCTAATTATGATATGAAGTTAACTTAGAAAGACAAAAAACTGAAGTACCTTTGACGATAAAGGATGCCGCAAATTTTCACTGAACTCCTAACTTTCAACAAACTTGCGAAGGCCTTGCGGTTGTGTTAGTTTCGCTCTTGTGAATAAATTGAAATAAACAGCACCCGCGTGCAAAGTCAGTTGAAAACAATTTTTGACGCATGACTGTTCAAGAGAATTATTTAAATGTGTTGAAGCAGATATCTTAATATGCAAGAATTTTTAGCATTGGGGGAAAAATGTCAAGGGTTTTACGACAATGCTTGTCAGACACTAGAATGTCGTCCCTATGGAATATTGATATTTTAAACCACATATATATCCTAGAAGCGCTTGTATTGAAACGCAAGAGAGATCATATTAAAATTCCAAACTTCGTTACAGAGACTAAGGTGGCTGAATCAACGTTAAAACTGAGACCGGAATTTCCCTTGAACTTTGACCCATTTTATGGCATGTAACTATAAAAGCTCATCATTTAGAAATGTTTAACGTCAAAAGAAAGCAAAGGTGATGTCTACAAAATGATATTGGCTTTGTTTTGTTTTTCTTGCCCAAACGAATCCAAAACAAAATATCAGGTGACAATTACAAACATTTAGAAAAGCGATTTATGATATAACACATAACACTAGAAGGAACTGAAGAATTCTATAACTTTCGGTGTAAATTCAAATTCTTTGCGAGTTCAGACGAGGCATTCTCACTTTCTCGCAGTCGTACTTTCTCGCAGATTTAAGACATCGTACGCCATCATTGGGCTCCTAAAGCCTTATTTTGCTCTGCAATTGCTCTGCACAGGATTGTGGAAGAATGAAAGCTCTATAACCGCCTTGGACTGAAAAGACAATTTTGACAAGAGTTGGACAATGTAAAAGTTCTAAGAACTGATTTGTTCCAGTAGTGCCTCAAACCGACCATTACATTCTAACATAATGGAAAGTGTGGCCCTAAGTTTCCAGGATCTAGAGATATATCACTTTCGAAAAGAGTTAGCGTTTCTATCAAAGTGTTTCAAAGATTGTTTTTATAAGTTGCTAGCTAGTGAACAGCTAGTAAAGGCAATTTTTGTCCATTTGTGTTAATGTCTTGGCTCTCAAAGCCAGCTCGTATTCAGATGATGCCACTCTGGTATCTAAGTCTGATTTAGGTGGTCTGATTCATTCCCTTAATGTCGAACTGAATCAAATCATTTCTCCGAGAACGCTGCGACCTCGGCGCAAAGAAAGATTTTGCATTTATGTTTGTCCTCTCTGCAGACCTAGAGTGTAATCAGATGAAATAAGGAGGATAGCACAGTCAGAACTGGAATAGGGAAAATCACTCTATCAATGTACCAAAATCGTGAATGAGGGACAGGGGCGGGGGACGGGGAACGGAGAACGAGGAAAGTGGAACCGGAAACGAAGAACGAGGAACGAGCAACGAGGAACGGGGAATGAGGAACGGGGAACGGGGAACGGGGAACGAAGAACGGGAAACGAAGAACGGGAGATGAGGAACGGGGAACGAGGAACGGAAGTTTAGCAATGGGAAACAAGGAACGAGAAACAAGGAATGGGAAAAAAGAAACGGACAACAAGGAACGGGGGACGGGGGAACTGGGGACGGGGGAACGGAGGAGGGTTGAAAGTGCTCTCGCACTGATAAGTTCTTAGTCCCTTGCAGACCTCACACCGGCTCGCTTTGCTCATGGCCTTAAAGTTACTCGCACGTGAAGACATGTTCGTGGCACAGCGCTACTAATAATGTTTCACGTCCAACAAGGGTAAAGTTCGTTTTAATTTCATAGCAGTAAAAAAAAAAAAACAGTTTTCTTTGTTTGGTCAAACCCGATAACTCGACGACACCATTAGTGAGCATATAGCCACTGGTGCTTATAGACTCCTCTTAAATTTCGGGAGACCGGCGAATATATTCTGCAAGAGTTTAAGACGGCTTGCATAAACTAAACACATTCAGGAGATAATTGAGACATTTCTTCATCTTCTCTCTTCACTGTCTCCAGTGTCGGTTGATTTTTGGTTTCTGGTAACGTCATACACAGTACCCCAGCAAGCAATGCATTTGCACCCATAATCGCAAATGGAAGTAAGCTATGAACACGATTCTGTAGATGGTGAGAACAAAATTGAATGTCAAAGAAAGGCACCCGTTACCAAAAAAAAAAAAAAGGGTTAAGAAAATATTTGCCAAAAGAAATCTGTCATGAAGCCCTCAACATGGAAACAAACTTAAAGGACATGTTATGAAGTATTTAGTTAGTTAAGTTTGATTTAGTCATCCGTTTATAGCTAACACTTAGTTATCATTTAAATTTGAAATGCGAAGTTGTTTAGGTTTAAGCCAAAACGATAAGTTTCCAAATAACTCGACTGTCTTGTCTAGTTGCCTTGAGTTGACGCGCTTAATTTGTCTACTGACCTTGGATCTATACTAAAGTTCATGTTTTGACTTATGCAGTCAAAGACGGATTAGGTTGATCGGAAACATTGAGTACAATGTTGTTCATTTGTGAGATTCTGGTAAAAGTCTTTGGGTTAGTATTCTTACAAGAAACGTTTAACCTTCCAAGGTCAGTTGGCAAGCATACCCACACATGCCTTCAGATAGAAATTATACTTCTGCATTTACTTAGCAGAGTGAGAAGCAGTAATAAACAAGGAGCGTAGCAAGTAATTTTTGTTTTGTAAGCCTGTTCCATACCTCGTAAGTATAGTACAGCCTGGGAAGATATATAAATTCCAAGAAAAAATACATGTTGCGAGAAAAGTTTGTAAGCCTGGGCTTACTGGCTTAAAAGGAGCTACGCGCCTACAAACACAGAGTGAGAATCGGAGGAAGTCAAGAGCCAAGGGTCCAATAGTCAATGACGCGAATTTCTTGTAAGAAGAATTGCATGTAAGAGAACCGAGATTAAATAAAATTGAAAAAGACAGGCTGAGAGTCCTAGGTGCTTTTCGTAAAAGCGTTTTGCGGTCTACAACTAATTTCCTTATCACTGCGACCTAACACATACATTCAAGATGATGACGAAGATGACGGATATTGTAACCAAGGGAAAAGTGTCTGAGGACGTTATTCAACCCTCGACCGTTTTCTCCCAAAAAGAGTGGTTATTATTGTCATTATTGGTTATTATTCGCATGTTAATAACTAATATGTACAAGTGTGCGTAGATGAACATATAGACTACAAACGAAGCCTCATTCTTTCTGTTACTTACGGTGTAAACTATAAACGGAGAACACATCGAGCCAATACGGGCAGCAGCGGTCGATGTTCCTACACCAATGTTTCTGTAAAAAACGATCAACATCGTCATCAGTATCATTATTATCATTAATATCATCATCATCATTAACATCATCATCATTATCATTCTCATCGTCATCGTCATCGTCATCGTCATCACCATTGTCATAAACAACATCATAGGACATACTCTTTTTCACAGAAAAATAAAACCAGAAGCAACAAGAAAAGACGAAACAGACTCTAAGGGTTACTTTACTCCCATTTGTCGCAAGTATTTTCTGCATTCGTATCTGACTCCATAATGGAGGGCAGGCTTATCTAATGTGTATAAGTCAATAATTAGATTGATTAAAAAAATTACCCTGTAAATAAATTATGAAATGGGGATAATATCATAGCTGCTTAGTGAATCACCTTATAGCTGTCGGGAATAACTCTGCTGTGTAAAGATACACTCCGTCAAAAGATATAGTGATGAAGAACTTGGCTACAATCATGGACATGATGATCTTACCAGCCAAGGCGCCTGCGACCAAACAGAAATAAAAGAAAGCAAAGAATTAAAAAAACCAAAAAAAAAAAAAAAAAGAAAAACAGAATTTATGAAATAGAACTAAGAGTGATATTGTCTTTGGTCTCTTCCCTCGTTTGTCTGTCGTTCAGTGCGTCATTCTTTATGCCATGGACTTTGTACCTCAACAATCTCGGTTACAGTTCTTTCACCATACGGACCTCCCAGCCGACAAATAGCAAACCGCACAGAGTTCTCACCTTTGCTGCCATCGCCTTCACTTTCAATAAGTATGGACGCAAATGCTCCAAGTGAAGCCAAGATCAAACTCGCAATGATGCTTTTCTTTCGACCAAATCTGTAAGAAAAGTAAGTTGCTGGCCATACAAGAACACAAGTTATCCGAACCAGGGAAGTTGTTGCCATTTTCATTCAATATATCGCCTTTCTCATTGGTAGGGTATCTAGACTGACCGTGTTCACGCGAGAGAAGGAACATACTGATTTATTTCCCATAGCAAAACCGAAAAATAAAATCTCCTTGAGAAATAACAGGGCACTCGATATTCAGAGTTCTATAGTGAGTGGTAAACGCAGTTGGCACCTTTCCCCTTAGTGGGTCGTCTACAATCTTCCACTCAACATAATAAAAATAAATCTTGTAAAAGGCATTATTAGTATTCTCGGACGGCCTAGAACAAGTGCGTGAAACTACATAAAAACGAAGCTCATGCGAGGCAAAAATTTTCGGAGAATATGGCTGACAGAGGAGCTGACGAAGAAGAAGTGTCTCATGGAAGGTTACCGAAATGGGTGAAAACTGAACAACACCCTGTGGGATTTGTTGGCATTTCTTCTGTCCTATCGCAACAATGACAAAGTCAAAATAAACAAAAGTTCGACAAAGCATGTCTACGTCAAGTATAATGTTTGTTCCACGAACCTGTTAAAGACCCATACGCCTACAGGGATAGCTGGCAGTTCAATCAGGCTTGTCAGGAAAAAGTTTAAGTAGAAATTTCCTCCAATATTAGGTGCACTAAGAAAAACTCCATAATACACCAAGGCATTAACAAACCTGGAAAAATAGGAATTTCTATAATCAAAATTTTCTTACGAAAGCCATCTTAATTGACTTCGTTGAGGATATAGCAACTTTGGAAAGAATCAAGACATTTTGCATATAGAACTCCACAGCGTCAAACCGCTTTGCAGGACCCGAGGCAAATTCTAATTTATTTCTTTTAAATGCGAAGGAATGTTTATGGTAAGTAATAAATCGACGACTTTTGTACCATTGCAGCTCAAATAAAGAAAATAAAAACACAATCAACTTTCTAAATTTCAATTCTACCTGGAAAAAGTGGACAAGAGCTTGAGGAGCCACCACATGGATTGTCCACTGCTAAATCCCATTCATTTTTGATATATCAAATTTTATTTATTTGTCTGTGAATGCACTTGTTAAGTCACTTCAAAGGCTCTCATATTTTATTAATTTAAGAAACACCTATTACACCCTTACCAGCAATACCATGACAGTAAAGTTTTTTTCACCATTTGGCGCGATGAAAACAGGTCACACACATCCCCCAGTCTATTATCATCGTCCGCTTCTTGTAGCTCTCCAATAGGCACGGACGTTTTGTTGACTTTGGCCATTCTTCGGAAAATTGCCTTAGCATCTTCGGCTCTTCCTTTCAACATCAACCATCGCACTGACTCGGGTGTCAAACTTAATGGCAAAACAAAGAGAAATGCTCAGTTCAGAGCACGTTCAATGGTTTTTTTTTTCTGACGATGTAAACTCGCCGTAGCTTGTTGACTTCGACGTTTGAAACGTTATCATTTTAATGCACAAAATTAATCGTATCCGGCCTCACTCGAGATATCCATGTGTGACTCATCTACAGAGAAAGATCTCTGTAAAAAACTCCACAAGTTAGAAACTTTTAAAGAACAACTTGTCTTTCTTTGCAGTTGGTCTGTTGTTTAACTAAATCTCAAAAATTAGTTTCAAGAAGAAACTTTATTCTCCAGCAACCACGAAGTTCACGAAAAACACAAAATAATACCTCCAATCAACAAAAGAAAATTCCTCGCAAAATTAATGCTATAAAGTATCTCCGATACATTTTTTTCCTCTACCATTGCACTTACAACCAACCCAGCAGCGGAGGAAGTCCAGGAATTGCAGTGGCGATGGTGAGCATCCTCCAGTCTCTGATGAGGTAACCTATTCCAGCAAGACACATAAGAGATATACTCCAGCAATACCACAGAGACATTCCCATCATACTGCGGTGGCGTACACCAACGAATTCTGTCACAAGAACAAAGATCGCTACGCTTGCTCCCCCTGTGGAAACAAAGACAGAAAAAATAACAGTGAAGATCATGAGGCACTGAATGGTATCGCTATTATAAAGGTGATAAGTGATAAATGAACGATTTGTGAACCGCACAGACTGAAAATATAAAAGGGTTAACTGAAGTACGCCAAAAAGGTTTCCTTCGTCATCCTTACTACAAAGGTTTTTTTAAGTTTATACAGTTCACAGTCTGGAATCCTCAGTAGCAAAAGTAGTTTTAGAAGGTCTTCAAGTGGGTAGCTTGTTCCAGGTTTTTAGTTGATAAAACGGAGCGAAAAAGTAAACGGCGAGAAAGAAGCGGCAGAGCGAAAACGAGGGGGTGAGTGGAGTCACGTAAAAAACCTAGACCTCTTTGGTTTTTTTCCTTCCTCCGCCACTATCGCGCTTCTTTTTACTAACTGAACAAGTAAATGGAACAAAGCAGTTTCTCGTAGTTGTGACACATAACTTCCCATTCATAATCCTAAGGCATTCGTTACCCAGAGCGCTTTTTAATCGAGTGTTCAAATTCAAAACCAAAATAGTAATAAATACCAATCGGAACGTAGAAAAACAAAGCAAGAAGCGAATAAAAACCCAAAGAAATTTCACGAAAACTGCCCTTGTCGCGGGAATATGCGAATGATCATGTCGCGCCTGGCTTTACTTCTGCAACAAATTGGCAGAGAAGGCGGCACCCCTTTCCTCGACCAATCGCAGAAAGCAGTGAAGGAACCAAGGTAAACAAGGATAACTTTTAATACTCATTGAGAAATGCTCCATCTTAAATATTTCAACACTCACCAACTCCTAATCCGACGATGATCTTGAAAACAACAAACAGCGAGAATATTTTGGGGAAGGCGGACACCAGGCTGAAGACAGCAATGACAAATCCTGAGATGAAAATAGTTGGCTTTCGTCCAAACTTGTCCGTGAAAGGACCAATAATTATGGCACCAATAAAGAAACCAAGGAAAACAGAGGCTAACGCTAGGGTGCCATAGATTGATTTGTTGCACACAAGATTAAACTGCAAGACAAACAAATTAATGAGCGTAACGATTGCCGGCATGGTATTGAAAATGCTTCATACAAAGATATGAAGGAGACAATGGGTAAACACCTGGTCTGGAGGTTTGTTCCCTTGGTAGGGCAGGTGAAGGAGGAAAACATGACGGAATACTTTCATAGGAGACAGCCGAGGTCGTTACTGGAATAATATCAATGATTTGGTTCCGCTCAGGGTGTAGTTGAGGTATCAAAACAAAATTATCGCGAGAATTCCTTATTACTTATGATGCTGTCGCAGCATTGCCGAAGATGTAAATGAGACTCAACAAAAGAATCCTTTCCTTCAACACATTCATAACTTGAACCAACATAAAACACCTTTTCCGTCCACCCTCCTTCTTTCACTAATTTAGGGCTCGATATACTATTGTTTGGAAATATTCCACTTGTCTTAAATTATGAAATGTTCAGATGCTTAAATTTCTGGTAAATTGTAAGTTCATGATTTTTGCCCGATTAGTCAGAAACAGAATAATCTGCTAGCAAGCCAAATTCCCCGCACTATTTGAGTTCAACAGTGTTTTTGTGATCTTGTTGGATCAACATTTTGAGGTCTCCTGAAAGTGGAAGCCAATAGTCACTCATCACATTGACTTGCCCACTGCATAATACTGGACCAGCGTGCACCTGTCTCTTCTTAAGGAAAATTCAGAGTTCTGTGGATCATGGATCATTCTTTCTTTTAGAGTTTTTTTGTTTTTGTTTTTGTTACCTCGGTAACCACGGTGGTGATGTCATCCTCAAATTCCCACTCACTCCGCGAGATGTTACATCTATGATCGTAGTGCTCATGCCCAGGGTAAAAGCTGCCTTCATAGGAGCAGACAGAGCTATTCTGGACACATTTCCAAGGAGGTTCTGCGGTTATGATACCCGTCACCATCACAGCCCAGCCGAATAGAAGAGCGGATAGCAAGTTAAATAGAATAAGGAGTCGTATTTGGAACCATCCAAAACTGCCAACCTCCTCTAAGACTTCATCGGCAGAGAGTGCCATCTCCTACGAATAAAATTTAGAACGTAAACTAAAGTCAAAATCAACTTTTAACTAGAGATCCGAAAAGTCCCATGTGTGGCGGCATCTAAACCGGGAAGTAAAAGAGAAGGTTGCGGTAAGTGTTCGAAGTCGAAGTGTTCGCGCTCGTTCAAGCTATCTTAATTGATATTGTCAAGTTCGACATATGGCATGGCTAAACCAACTGATGCAGATCAGAACGCAAAAATAAATTAACAATAACAGTAATTTGGGTGATAATTTTAGTAATAATAATAATAATGATGATGATGATGATGATGATGATGATGATGATGATAATAATAATAATACTAATAATAGTCTGTAGTCAGCACGGCAGACCAATGAAAAGGGGCTAAGTTTTTGTGGAGGATGATGGAATCTCGGGTCAGTATATAACTCTTCACTTGAAATAATTAACTAACCACCTATTTTGCAACGACGAAACATAACAGGGACCTTAAGCAGTCAGGACAGCAACGTTAACGCTAAGGAAGACGTCGATTAAAAAACGAATTTCTACTTTTCATTAAAATTTCGAAAATGGCTGCATGTGTTTACCATCTCATACAGCGCCAGACCTCAAACTCAACATAATGTATAAAAGTAGCGTTAAGTTCCAAATGGAAATTAAAATAATTGGCCGTCGCGGTTTCTGTTCGCAGACGACGCAAATTTTGGTGATTTTACGTCCTTGTTTTACAAAGGACGGCTAAGAAATGTACTAAGTTTTACAATGCACGTGCTGAACTATTGTTCTGCCAATTAGATCTTTTATTTTTTCATGTCCTCGTTGCCGTCGTCGTCGTGGTTTGCTTAATGAAGGTCCCTACTATCCCTACGAAAGTGCCTATTTTGACATTTCTACGAGTTAATTACATTCGGATCTCGTTCGAAGCGCACGAACACAATTTGTTTCTATAGAAAATATAAATTTAAAGCTCATTTGAAAACATTGTTGTTACTCTCTATCCCAAACGTTGTGCGCGTTTTAGTTCTAGCCTCTATAGTGCTTGTTTACCCACACGACTGTAATCCGAAATAGAGAGATGGTTAATTTGGAGCCGGGTCACAAAATAAAGGAATAAATAATTCTTTGTCACGAGCGTAAGAAGCAGTAAATAGGGACGTTAAGCAGTCAGGACGGCAACACCACGGAAGACGTCGATTAAAAAATGAGTTTCTACTTTTAGTTAGAATTTCGAAAATGGCTGCATATGTTTACCGTCTCATAGGGCGCCAGACCTCAATCTCAACGTAACGCATAAAAAAAGTAGTGTTGAGTTCCAAATGCAAATTAAAATAATTTGCCGCCGCGGTTCCGCTTCGCAGACGACGCAAATTTTGGTGATTTCACGTTGTTGTTTTGCAAAGGACGGCTAAGAAATGTACAAAGTTTTAAAACGCACATCTGAGAAATGTACAAAGTTTTAAAACGCACGTGCTGCGCTATTGTTCTACCAAATAGATCTATTGTTTTTCCACGTTCTCGTTGCCGTAGCCGTCGTGGTTTGCTTAAAGTCCCTAATATCTGAGAGGACCCCCAAGAGGCATAGACCTTCGAACATTTCCATTTAGTTGTCCGAATCCTCGTTCTAAGCGACTTCTGATCGGTTTTGCTTTATTGTCCCACGCTGGAAACAGGTAGACAATCTTTTAGAATTCTCTGTTCATGAGAGGCCAACAGCAAAAAAAAGTCAAGATATCATGGCTCAACAGTATCACAAGACGTCAAATGAAGCAAACTTAAAATGGCTAGTTTTCACTGACTAATTCTCGTGACCAACTGCACATCAAAGCAGCAAGCTCCCAAGAAGCTCTGATTCTCAGACAGGAGGAAGGCGCTGCCTAATTTCAATGAATGGAAATAAATGAATATTGTTCACTGACACAATCTGCCTATTTTACAAGAGTAGACTCTTTAATTATTCCAAGTTTAAAGCAAACAAATTTATTTATATAACAAATTTCATAGAACCAACATAGGCAGTACTTAATAATTTTTACTCTTCAGTTTTAACTTACCGATCTTGTTATTATTGTTATTCTTATTTTGCTACCTTCGCTTAAATTTACAACTGTTCGACATTATTAAATATGTAAATTTTTGTAGTTTTTGTGAATTCACAGCTATTGTTCTTCAGTATTACCAATTTCGTTCGAATATTTTATAGCACTTTATATTTTGTGCTGCCGATTGTGTGAAGCAGACATCATCGGCATCAAATTTTGTTTTTCAAACTTTATTATATAGATCACAAACAACACTATTTAAAAAATATTTGCGCCTGCTCGATTTACATCGAAAATTTCAAAAATTTACTCCGATTTATGTAAGTTTACATAACGAAGGCAAACGATTAAATGTCTACTCTAGATATCAGTGAAAGGGTTTTAAATATTCCTTTTACGATCTCAGCGTATCTCAGTTCAAGTCTCGATCGATACCCAAAATTCATGAATAAAAAATAATCCATATCATCTAATTCGTACTGTTCGATTGAAAAAGCTTTCCTAAATTTGTAAGTATATAAACAAAGGCAATCACTTACCATGAGCGAGTTTCATGACATAAGCCATGCGAAAAAATCAAATTTTAAAACACACGCAGAATTATTACTCACGAATCGGCATGTGAAATATTGATAACGTCCATGCTTTTGGTGATATTTTATTATCACTTTAAGCAACACCTAAGGCCTTTCCTATGGATTTAACCTTTCGTGCATAAGCAGTTAAAAATACTGATCGTCATGTTAATATCATGCACGAGTAACGATAATGTGACTCGCTGTGTTAAGCAACAGAGGCATGTCGTCTTCTAAATGAACGACTTCGATTCGAAGCGACCTTCGTCGAAGATTAAATTCATTCGTTTTAATTAATCACATGAGACACACATTACAGGATTTATCGAGAAGTTCTTGCGATCAAAAAACATGCCAAAGAAATAGATTTTCTTCTGTTCATGCCTGACTGATCCTGCTGGAAACTGACAGAACCCAATTACCGCGAGATAGTACTGAAACGAGCGACAGTGTTTTAAAATGAGCCCTGAACTAAGACGATTGACGTATATGCTTCCATTGTTCGTGTATTCCGAAGAAACTGGCTTCGCTTACCTGTACTGCACCTCATAAAGTTCACGACCGTTCAGTGTTTATGTTGATCACAATTGGCTTGTTGTGTGACCTCTTTGATTGGATATGATTAAATGGCTCCCATGGGATGGTTTCCTTAGCAGCCGCTGTTTCGTCTCGTCGCGCAACGCGTTGGAGTGTGCGTGACAAAACCAAGAATGTAACGTGTTATGAGGT